GCATCCCCTCGATGTTGGCATAACTAGTATGCTGGAATATGTGGATGAGGGACGAGAATGGATTTTTTTTTTTCAAGACGGAGTGCAGTATAATGTGGTTATCTGAGAAGGACATGATATAAACCATCTGTCCAATAACTGCAGACAGATCCACACTATACATTTCCTATATAAACAAAAGGAAATTACTAATAGGGAGAAATTTCCCGTCAGGTCCTTTCCATGTTCTCACCCCGACGCAACGCACAGCATGCATTCAGCTCCCGCGGGAGCTAAACACGATCCGCCCAACCGCTAGATTACCTCGGAAATCAAGCGTGAACGAAAACTGCTGCCGCGAATGCATCGCTATTCCCGCGAGAGGCGAACGCACTCATGCAAACGCATCTACAAACGTGGAAAAATGGTGAAATACTCACATCCCCCTCAGTAGTCCCGCGAATGCATCACAATGAGCACAAACTGGTGTGAGTGGTGCTCCTTCAGAAAACAACATCATGCTGTGGAACGCGGTGATCTTTGGGTACGTGTGCTGAAATGACTAGAACTGATATTATATAGTGTCGTTTTTGTGGGTACGGAAAGTATTCAGACCCCCTTAAATTTTTCACTCTTTGTTATATTGCAGCCATTGCAGCCATTCATTTAAGTTAATTTTTTTTCCTCATTAATGTACACACAGCACCCCATATTGACAGAAAAACACAGAATTGTTGACATTTTTGCAGATTTATTAAAAAAAGAAAAACTGAAATATCACATGATCCTAAGTATTCAGACCCTTTGCTGTGACAATCATATATTTAACTCAGGTGCTGTCCATTTCTTCTGATCATCCTTGAGATGGTTCTACACCTTCATTTGAGTCCAGCTCTGTTTGATTATACTGATTGGACTTGATCAGGAAAGCCACACACCTGTCTATATAAGACCTTACAGCTCACAGCGCATGTCAGAGCAAATGAGAATCATGAGGTCAAAGGAACTGCCTGAAAAGCTCAGAGACAGAATTGTGGCAAGACACAGATCTGGCCAAGGTTACAAAAAAATTTCTGCTGCACTTAAGGTTCCTAAGAGCACAGTGGCCTCCATAATCCTTAAATGGAAGACGTTTGGAACGACCAGAACCCTTCCTAGAGCTGGCCATCCGGCCAAACTGAGCTATCGGGGGAGAAGAGCCTTGGTGAGAGAGGTAAAGAAGAACCCAAAGATCACTGTCGCTGAGCTCCAGAGATGCAGTCGGGAGATGGGAGAAAGTTGTAGAAAGTCAACCATCACTGCAGCCCTCCACCAGTCGGGGCTTTATGGCAGAGTGGCCCGACGGAAGCCTCTCCTCAGTGCAAGACACATGAAAACCCGCATGGAGTTTGCTAAAAAACACCCGAAGGACTCCAAGATGGTGAGAAATAAGATTCTCTGGTCTGATGAGACCAAGATAGAACTTTTTGGCCTTAATTCTAAGCAGTATGTGTGGAGAAAACCAGGCACTGCTCATCACCTGTCCAATACAGTCCCAAAAGTGAAGCATGGTGGTGGCAGCATCATGCTGTGGGGGTGTTTTTCAGCTGCAGGGACAGGACGACTGGTTGCAATCGAGGGAAAGATGAATGCGGCCAAGTACAGGGATATCCTGGACGAAAACCTTCTCCAGAGTGCTCAGGACCTCAGACTGGGCCGAAGGTTTACCTTCCAACAAGACAATGACCCTAAGCACACAGCTAAAATAACGAAGGAGTGGCTTCACAACAACTCTGTGACTGTTCTTGAATGGCCCAGCCAGAGCCCTGACTTAAACCCAATTGAGCATCTCTGGAGAGACCTAAAAATGGCTGTCCACCAACGTTTACCATCCAACCTGACAGAACTGGAGAGGATCTGCAAGAGGGAATGGCAGAGGATCCCCAAATCCATGTGTGAAAAACTTGTTGCATCTTTCCCAAAAAGTCTCATGGCTGTATTAGATCAAAAGGGTGGTTCTACTAAATACTGAGCAAAGGGTCTGAATATTTAGGACCATGTGATATTTCAGTTTTTGTTTTTTAATAAATCTGCAAAAATGTCAACAATTCTGTGTTTTTCTGTCAATATGGGGTGCTGTGTGTACATTAATGAGGAAAAAAAATTAACTTAAATGATTTTAGCAAATGGCTGCAATATAACAAAGAGTGAAAAATTTAAGGGGGTCTGAATACTTTCCGTACCCAGTGTATGCTTCAGACACCGGTCACACTGAAGGTGTTCCCCATAGCGACCCCTAGAGGACGCAGTTAGAAGTTCCCTTGAAAGGGAATCACCGACATCACTGCCTGGTCTACAAACTGTGTTTCACAACCCAACACACGAGTTATAAGTTATATAGGACATAACGTAAGATTGTGCGAGAATGTTATTTTCTATATTACTTCTCGCGTGTTGGATTGTGTAACGTAGAATAGACTTATTGATGTCAGAAAGGATAGACCTCAAGAAGCTTGCGATCCAAGTTGTCTGTGTGCTGATTTTCAGTGGAAAAAGGAAAAAAAAGAATATTGCAGCGAATGGTTGCTTGATGTTCTGTTGCAGGTCTATGACTCCTCCCCCTGAACTTTCCCTTTGCCTCAGATTTTAGGCATTTTTCTGCGATTTCCACAAAAATGTTGGTGAGTGAAAATCGGGGCTAAAATTGTGCAGTGTGAACCCAGCATTAAATAAAATTAACATTATAAAATAAAAAAAGCAGTTTATAACCCCCTTTAACTGATTGTATTACAATACATTATATATACTTTGTAAACAATACCTAAAACATTCACAATCATTTGTCTGTTGTCACAGAACTTACCTCAGTATCTCCAGTTTACACTTTAGACTCTTCAGTCCAGTGCAGAGCAGCTTCACTCCTGAATCCTGCAGATTATTATTGTTCATGTTCAGCTCTTTCAGATTAGTATCTGATCCAAGAACTGTAGCCAGAGCTGGACAGCTTCTGTCTGTTAAGTTACAATCATTTAACCTTGAAAAAAATGAATACAAAATAAGAATGAGTACAAACAATATATTTCCCAGTATTGTTTTTAGACCGTAAATATACTGGTGGGCTACACTGACATTTCTATTAAACTTAAAAGCTAAGATTTTGCTTTTGGTTTAAGGCTTTAATAAAAAGGTGAATTTTTTGTCATATCACCCATCACTAAGTTAAATTAATGATTAAGAATCAACTATAGAGATATTTTGATGCTTTTTTTTTTAGATAAGTGCAAAAACATGACTTTTAAATGACTTACAGAGCTCTTTTGCAGGTTTTGATGACTGCTGATAGTCTAACGAGACACTCGTCTGATTTCTTGAATTTCTGAAGTTCAAATTCCTCCATCTCCTCCTCTGATGTCAACAACACAAAGGCCAAAGCAGACCACTGGGCAGGTGAAAGGTCAACAGATGAGAGACTTCCTTCTCTAAGGTGGGTCTGAATGTCTTTCACCAGAGTTTGGTCGTTCAGTTCATTCAGACAGTAGAACAGATTGATGGATCTCTCTGGAGACAGATTAGCTTCTAATTTCTGCTTGATGTACTGAACTATTTCCTCTTTGATCTGGTCATTGTCGTCTTGCTGTGTCAACAGACCTCGTAAGAGTCTCTGATTGGACTGGAGTGACAGACCGAGAAGGAAGCGAAGGAAAAGATCTAGCTGTCCATTATCACTCTCTAGTGCCTTGTCCACTGCAGTCTTGAGCAAATCAATCATGGTTTCACTTTTGTTTTCCTGTTCTGCAGAGTCTTGAACAAACACACTTTTCTTGTTGATGTCTAGAAACAGATGTGCATAAAGGGCTGCAATAAACTCTTGAATGCTCAAGTGAACAAAGCAGTACATGGTACCCACAATGATCCCCGTTTCCTCCTTAAAGATCTGGGTACACATGCCTGAATACATTGATGCTTTAGAGACGTCAATACCACTGGCTTTCATGTCTGCATCACAAAAGATCAGGTTGTTCATTTCCAGCTGATGAAATGCCAGTTTCCCCAATGAAAAGATGGCGTCTTTATCCCAGGAAACATCTAGTGTGCATTTTCCATCATACTTTCGGCTGTTCTGCAGGATCTGAAAGCGGAGAAAGTGTGTGTACATTTGTGTCAGAGTCTTGGGAGTGTCTTCAGTGTTTGATTTCTGCTGTGTTTTGGAGACGTCATCAGCCTGATTGTTTCTCACATCTTTATTTCTTTTCTCTTCCAAAATGTTCTGGAGAACAGTGGCTGAAATCCAGCAGAAATGATACATCATGACACATCTCATTACCAGCAAAGTTTAGAGGAAGACGACATTCGTCCAACCCATCAAGGATGAACAGGACTTTGAATTGATCACTTTTTGTAAGGTTCAGTCCTTTCGTCTCTGGGAAAAACTGAGTTATAAGGTCCATCAAACTTTGCTTTTCCTTCTCTATTAAGTTCATCTCACGGAAAGGAAAAGGAAATATGAAACTGATATCTTGATTTTCTTTATTGTGCTTTTTGTTATTGTCATTTTCTTTATTCTCCTTTTCTTTTTTGTCCTTTTCTCTTTTGTCCTTTTCTTTTCTGTCCTTTTTTCTTTTGTTCTTTTCTCTTTTGTCCTTTTCTTTTTTGTTCTTTTCTCTTTTGTCCTTTTCTCTTTTGTCCTTTTCTTTTTTGTCCTTTTCTTTTTTGTCCTTTTCTAACCTTTTAGCCCAGTCCAAAATAACCTTTTGCACAGAGACTGATTTTCCGATGCCAGCAACTCCTTTTGTCAGTACAGTTCTGATCTGCTTGTCTTGTTCAGTTGATTCAAACAAATTTGTGCATTTAATCTGTATCTCTTGGAATTCATAATATCTGGAAGCAACTTCAATCTGTCTCACCTCATGTTCAGTATTGATCTGTTCACTACAACCCTGAGTGATATAGAGATCTGTGTAGATGTTATTCAGAAGTGTAGAGTCGCCATGCTTAGCAATTCCTTCAGATACAGATTCATACTTCTTCGTCAGGCGAGATATTAGCCGTTGTTGATGAATGAAGACCAGGGCATCTAGACACAAACACAGTAACAAAATGTAATGATAGGGACTTCATGCGAGAGAGCGGGGAATTGTGACATAAGGAGTGAGCCATGGCCGTGCATTGCATGCTTTTTGTGAAATATTATAGAAAATACACAAAAACATTTTACTGTACTTTTCTCTCATGTATTTTAATTTCTCTCATTTTATAAGTGACAATATGACCTCTCTTACCTCGTAGAATATTGGCAGCTTCATCTTGCTTCATATATTTCAGGAAGTAGAGTGTGAGATCAAGAGCTGCTTCTTTGATACTGCACATATCCCCTATAAAGTCCTCCACAAAGTACTGTGTGTTCTCTTTTTTTAATATTTTCTTAAACCTTTCTAGCTCATTTTTCACAAATATGATTATTTTGTTCTCAAGAGCCTGAAAACAAATCAAGAAAAAATAAGGGTCAGAAAAAAAAAAACTATCCTACATACACACTTAAAACATTTTTTTTTAAATATAAACAATTAACATATAGTACAAATTACAGGCAAGTAATAGTAAAACATACTCATACTGGTTCGCCAGTATTGAACATCACTAAGGCAAAGTAATGGTGGTGAATACAAAAACACAAACAAAAGATACGAAGAACCTGGTATGGAGTCAACATTTTTTTGTATCACCACCGTTAATTTGTAGGGATGCGCCGATCCGATATTCATATCGTGTATCGGCTCCGATAGTGCCATTTTTCTCGGATCGGGTATCGGTCAGAGAGAACCAATCCAAATCCGAGATTTTAATTTTTTTTCGATTGTGCGAATTATTCTGTGTTACTTCTGAAGCCATACGATAGCTTAATGTGAGCTACATATGAATATTTAAGTCCTTACATTAAAGTTCACACAAACTCTTTTCTCCGCTGTGGCTGTCAGTCATTCGTTCTAAACCCTGGTCTCGTTCGGTTACAGCAGTCAGCTCGGTAAAGCTCTCTCCAAGATAATTCTGTGTTCCAATTATACTTGATTTGTAAATACATGTCTATGATTTAGCAAAAAGGACTTTATCTTCTTGCCGGAGTTTAATGTTGTTTTGTTACTTGCTACCGGGTGTCTGTGAGAACAAAACACGGGCGTAGAAAAGACTAAATTGTTTTTAACGTGCACAGTAACTCAAATTTAAAACTGTTTAAAGAAAGGCTCAATAACAGTTGCACAGATATAATACACTACGCATCAATTTCTCTTCCCTTTGTGCTTTTATTTTTCTTTATAATGAAGTAGTCTGTATCTAGTAGATTGTGAAAGAATGATTATCAGTTCCACACACAGAGATATATAAATTCTACATTTATTTAAATGAGGGAAAAAAACTTCACTGGTATCGGATCGGAATCGGTATTTTTTAAGCAAAAAAAAAATAATACACACAAATACACAGTATGCACATCTAGCAGGCAAAAAAGCTCAATATGGGTAAAAAAAAATAAAAAATAAAACAAAGAAAGCTAAATTGGCACACCACAGCTCCAAAAGCAGAAAAAATATAGAAAATGTAGAAAAAGAAATAGTGATGTTTCGAAGCGTCACTTGTGTGAACATGCTATAAATATTTTTCTGCTTTTGGAGCTATGGTGAGCAAACTTTGCTTTCTTTGTTTACATTTATTCAGTAACCTATTTGTTTGTTACAAAAATCTTAAGCATTTAAAGGGGTGGTTCACTGTTTTTTTTCTAGGCTTGATTGTGTTTATGGGGTGCAGTCTAACATGTGTTAATGCTTCGGTTTAAAAAACAACAACATTATTTTTCACATCATTTACCATTATTCCACACCGCTCTGTCCCTTCTCTGAGAAACACGCTGATCATTTCCTTCTTTTATGAAGCCCCACCCTCAGAAATAGGTGATGGGCTCTGATTGGTTAGCTAGCCCAGTGTGTTGTGATTGGCTAAACCGCCTCTAGTGCGCGTCTAAACGTCCCGCCCCTCACCTCAGCGGCATGTGCTCCGGTTGTATTGTA